CACACACACACACACACACACACACACAAACACACGCACGCACGCACGCGCACACAAGCCCGCACGCGCACGCGCACACGCACATACACGCACAAACAACAACAACACAAAACAATGTTGTCAGGAGTGGGATTCGAACCCACGCCTCCAGGGGAGACTGCGACCTGAACGCAGCGCCTTAGACCGCTCGGCCATCCTGACGGCGGGTCGGGCCGCCAGGCGGCTCCACTGGCTGGCACCAGGCGCCCACGCGCTCGCGCGAGCATAGCCGACCTGGCGCGACGGGGCAGACGGTCTCGTGTGCTGGTCTGGGTGCTCGAGCCGCGGGCCTCGCACGACGTCCCGACGCTCGTAGGAGCCGATGTGGCTCGGGGTCCCGCACGGGCTCCCGCCACCTGCGCCCCACCCGTCGCAGGGCCGCCCAGGGTTCGTGCGCGCTCAGCCTCTCCCGCTGCCATCGGCGAGGCCCGCAGCCTGGTGTCAGCTCCCACTGACCCGCTCAGCAGCCCCTCAGCAGCCAGGGAGGGGACAAGGGGCAGGAGGCAGCGGGCCGGCGACGCCGCGGTGGTCACACCGTGGTGAGGGTCCGGGTCCTGTTGCGAGGGGCGTTGTGGCCGCGTGGCGGAGGCTTGGGGGTTTGGATCGGACGGAGGCTGGCGAACCTGGCCAGGCTGGTCTCGGAGAAGGACGGGCTTCGGGTTGGTCGTCGTGGTTGCCGTCGCCGTCGTCGTCCTCGTTAGTATAGTGGTGAGTATCCCCGCCTGTCACGCGGGAGACCGGGGTTCGATTCCCCGACGGGGAGACAAGCTGTCACATTTTTGCCCGATGGGCGGCCCCGGGGGGCGCTGACCCCTCGGTCCCACTCTGCCGCCCGCGCCCGCGGGACCGCGTCCAAGAGCCGGGCTCGTGCGGCCTACTGCCAGGCATGCCCTCCCGCCCTCGGGCCCTCGGGTACCTTGCCGGCCACCTGCCCAGAGCTCCGACGGATGCCTGGGAACGCGCCGTCCTCCCGAGGAAGTTGCGGGCGTCGGAGCCGGCGGAGCGCCACTCGCGTGGCCTGAGCGCTGTGCCAGGCGGGTCCGGATGGTGACCTGGCGGCTCGGAGCCGTCCCGGGTGCTACCCTGGTCCCTGGGGCTCTCGAAGCGTGCCCGGGCCGTCCCGGTGCGCCGGATGGCAGCGGTTTGGAGGCGAGAGCGCCCCACCGGCCGGGCTGTGTGCCGGGCTGTGTGCGTGCGAGAGGCGCGGGCGGGACGCGCCGGTGAGAAGGGCGCGCAGCGGCGCAGCCCCGGTTGTGCTTGGCCTGGGCCTGGGCCTTGGCCCTGGCGTTGGCTGTGGGGTTGAGGCCGCGGTGGAGCCGCTGCAGGGAGTTAGTTGGTGCGCGGCCGCTGGCTGGTGGCAGTCCCCGGCGTGGTGTGCGTGGCGTCCTTGGGGCACAGCGTTGGTGGTATAGTGGTGAGCATAGCTGCCTTCCAAGCAGTTGACCCGGGTTCGATTCCCGGCCAACGCAGCCTGTCCATGTTTTGCCAGGGTTCAGGGCCGAGGGTGGCCAGCCTGGAACCTCTCACCTTACCTTGTCCAGGAGACCGACCTACCTACCTACCTACCTACCTACCTACCTACCTACACAACTACCCACTCACCTACCCACCTACCCACCTACCTACCTACACAACCACCCACTCACCCACCCACCCACCCACCTACCTACCCACCTACCTACCTACCTACACAACCACCCACTCACCCACCCACCCACCCACCTAGCTAGCTACCTACCGCCCGCCCCAAAGAAGGAGACGCTAGACGTTTGGAGGCTCTGGCGACCGGGGAGGAGATCAGCCAGGCGCAGGCGTCTAGTCCCGGAGGTGGTTCCCGACTTGCCGGCGAAGCGGCAGAGGGCACCGGGCACCGGACCTCTGGCATCTGGCATCTGGCATCTGGCATCTGACAGGGCAGACGCAGACGCAGGCGGCGGGTGGCTGGCAACGGTCACGAGCGGGCGAGCCGGCGAGCTGGCGAGCGGGCCGTCCGTCCGGCAGTCTGGATGTCAGACTGGCTGAGAGGCTGGCAGGGTGTCTGTGTCCAGCAGGGGAGAGCGGGGACCGTCGGTTGTAGACTATGCTCCCTGGTGGTCTAGTGGTTAGGATTCGGCGCTCTCACCGCCGCGGCCCGGGTTCGATTCCCGGTCAGGGAAGCCAGCTCTTCTCTTCTTCCTCTCTGCACTTTAGACGCCTGCTTTTCTCTGGCCAGCCTCCTTGGTCGTCGCACCTCGTCTCCCTTTTACCCAACAGCGCCTCTGCTGCTCTACTCCACTCCGCTTGCCTCTCTTGCTAGCACACGCACACCAACACACACCCCTCACCCGTAACTCCACTCTTTTCCCACTCGCGCACACCCGACACACAGCGCAGCGCTCCGGCACATGCTTTCTTCCCAGACACTCACCGAGCCCACCGAGTCTCCGCCTCACACTCCCATGCCTGCGCTTTGGTCTGGAAGAAACCCTCTAGCTGGAGGGCCCCACCTGCCCCACCTGCCCCACCTGGGTCACCTGTATGGATCACCATATCCCTGTGACCTCTACCCTGCTCTTCACAACTCAACGACCAGTTCAGATAAGTGTAGCGATTTTTTTTTCATTATACTTTAGGTGTCCGTGTGTTTGTACTTATGAGTGGGTCTCTCTCTCTCTCTCTCTCTCTCTCTCTCTCTCTCT